AAAGGGGGAGGTGACCCCCAGGGGACTCACCCTTTATTTCATTTGATTTGTTTTATTGTCTCATACAAGAATATATATGGTTTAGGAGTGGGGATCTCGACCGTTTACAAGTTCTCAAAAAGGAGGGGGTGGGGGTTACCCCCATTGACTTCCCCTATATTTAATTTGATTTGTTTTATCATCCCATACAAGAATATTTATGGTTTAGGGGTGGGGATCTCAACCATTTACAAATGTTCTCAAACAGGAGGGGGTGGGATGACCCCCAGGGACTCGCCCTATATTTCATTTAATTTTTTTTATTGTCCCATACATGAATATATATGGTTTAGGATTGGGAACCTCGACCGTTTACACGTTGTATATATAAGGGGGTGGGTTGACCCCCGTGGACTTCCCCTATATTTCGTTTGATTTGTTTAATTGTCCCATACAAGAATATTTATAGTTTAGGGGGGGGGGGGGAACCTCGACCGTTTACACGTTGTATATATAAGGGGGTGGGGTGACCCCCGTGGACTTCCCCTATATTTCATTTGATTTGTTTAATTGTCCCATACAAGAATATTTATGGTTTAGGGGTGGGAACCTCGACCGTTTACACGTTGCATAAATAAGTGGGTGGGTTGACCCCCCTTGGACTTCCCTTATATTTCATTTGATTTGTTTTATTGTTCCATACAAGAATATTTATGGTTTAGGGGTGGGGATCTCGACCGTTTACAAGTTCTCAAACAGAAGGGGGTGGGGTGACCCCAGGGACTCCCCCAATATTTCATTTGATTTATTTTATTGTCTCATACAAGAATATATATGGTTTAAGGGTGGGGATCTCGACTGTTTACAAGATAAAAGCACATTCTCAAATTGAAGTGGGTGGGGGTGACCCATAGGGACTCATCCTATATTTTATTTGATTTGTTTTATTGTCCTGTGATCATTTCTGAAGACCGTGTGTGTCTATCACTTACTGTTTTCGAGTTATAGTCATTTGAAAATTTAATAAATCTTGCAAAAAATGTTCTCCGCTGGGCACAGCTTGATACGACCGCAGAGGTTGAACCCTGAACAGTTGGGGCAAGTATGGACATAACATTGAAGCTTGATACAGCACTGAATTTGGATTGTGATTAAATATTTTACACAGCATAGGTTTCTGACACAGAATGAATATGGTCTAAGAACTTAAATTTTTTTAATTTACATATTCAAACCATATCATTATTATTTGATTTTACATATAAATCAGAAATAACCAATTTAAAATGAAAAATTTTAATGAAACCCCACCACCCCCCCCTCCCAATGTTTTGAACCCCCTTATGATTCATCACCCCCAAACTCAATCCCAGCCTTCCCTTTGTGGTATGGTACCTTGCAGTACAATTTCAGATAGATCCATACACTTGAACACAAGTTATTGTCATGAAACTAGAAAAATGCTTGTTTTTGGCCCCTTTTTGGCCCCTTATTCCTAAACGTTTTTGGCAATTACCCCCAAACTCAATTCCAGCTTTCCCTTTGTGATATGGAACCTTGTAGTACAATTTCAGAAAGATCCATACACTTACACACAAGTTATTGTCATGAAACTAGAAAAATGCTTTTTATTTGCCCCTTTTTTGCCCCTAATTCCTAAAATTTGGAGGCAATTACCCCCAAAACCAATCCCAGCATTCTCTTTCTGATATGGAACCTTGTTGTACAATGTCAGAGAGATCCATACACTAAGTCTGGAAGTTACAAAAATGCTTATTTTTGGCTCCTAATTCCTAAACTGTTGGAACCATAACCCCATCAAACAAAATCAATCCCCACCTTCCTTTTGTGGTATTGAACCTTATGGTAAAATTTCATAGAGATCCATTCACTTAAACTAAAGTTAGAGTGCGAAAACCAATGTGTCTTCGGACGACGACGACGACGACGACAATGTCATACCAATATACGACCACAAAATTTTTTTGCGGTCGTATAAAAAAATTATAGTCCGATTTTGTGAGGCCAATTGTATGTTATAGGCCGAGTTGTTATGGGCCGAGATATGAGGATACTTTCAATACACTCGGGCTTTTACGTCTTTAATAAACATTTGTAAATATCGTAAAAATGGTGCCAGAAAATGTTCATTCATGAGAATTTTTTAAACACGGTATTTATTTTCTCTTCGATCGGAGGACGCGGGAGACCCGTGACACCGGGATTATTGTACTCCCGTCAGGAGGTTCACATATATGGATTAAACGCATGTCTAGGGATTCCCGTAGGAAAACATACAGATAACATAAACAGTGACAGTTCAAAGTATGCATAATTTATAGAGGTCACACCTAATACCATTCGCAAATGTAAAAATTGAAAAGATTACGACATTCTTAACAATAAGAATTCTTTAATTTCATGAATAAATGTAAAAAAAAAAAAACCAACACACACCTCGAAATAAAAATCAGGCCCTCATAATTTTCAATTAATTAAACGTAGAAACTGCTGCCTCGTTTTGATGTGTATTGATTTTATCTTCCGTGCAGGGCAGATCCGCGAAGTAGTTTTTGTGATACCCATTTTCAAAATAAAGTTGGATCCACTTGAATTGTCGGTGAACCTTCAGTCCAATTTTTAATTAATTTTCTTTAAGCTGTAAGTTTATCAAAATAGAAGTAACTCAAAAAAATTTCAAAAGCGTCTTTATTTAATTTGTATTCAAACACTAGTACTACATTATCTAGGGGTAGAACACACATCCTATATTTAGATAGTCGAGTTTGAGGCCGATGCCATAGGAAAGTTTATTGCTATAGCAAGCTATAGCAAACTTTCCAAAAAATCGCACCTGCTCTATCTCAAAAAGATTTTTACAGTGTAGTGTACTACTATTGGGACAAATAATATCAAAATTATAGAAAAGTCTACCAGCTCTAACTCAAAATATTGACAATTCTATGTTAAGGGGGTCTAAAATTCAGTTCGACAGCTTCAGACATACTAGTTTTTGACCTTTTTGAACTGGACCAAATCACTACTTAACATAAAGATTCAGCACCCAAATTTTTTTAATAATTTTATGTAATTTCATCCCTTAACTTAATATTTCATGCATAAAATATGAAGAAATAAATTTGGAAAGTGTATGAACAAAATTTGCAAGTTATACACTGTCCACACTAGGGACTATAATTGTAGACAACGAAAATCTAAGGACGATAACTGTGTCCTCGGACCAATTGACTGATTGCCTCCCATATTTTCTTCTTTCAGAGCTCCAGATAAGCTGCGTATTTGCGTGATCACGCAATAAAAATAATTAAAAACCCAATGCAATTGACCATTGCAGCGTTCTAAAACCCAATACATTCAAAAGAAAACCCTATTATATGCCAAACCATGAGTTCTTTACGCTTTTATTCGCTATCGTTTGCGTTATTTACCCTTATCTTTTACATAGTCGTGCGTAAATCTATTTTTATAATATTTATAATTGGAAATGTCCTTTCGCACGTGTTGATGAAAACATTTCGATCTTCTCTGCGTTTATCCAATTAGGGTTTGTCAAGTTGTTATAATCTTTTCGAATTGCTCGGGTTTTATCATAACACACAATGAATTAAAACGAAAGTAAATGTCCGGTAAAAGTATTGAATGGTTTCAGCTTCTTTTTGATAGCTGAGGGATTACTATGATGATAACAAGACTCAGCTAGTGTTTTTATGAAGAGTTCATCGAACGCACGGGCGTGTTTGCGTGCCTTTACGAGAACATTGTTAGAACAAACACGGGGTTTCGTCAATAAACTCAGCATGCTCAGTTGGAACAATGTAAGGCCAAATTAATTATGACATCATATGTAGCTGGAAAGCATCGGAACCAAAAGTTCTAATAACAATTATAAGGAAAAACTTAACCCAGATTTATTTAAATTAAAATAAACAAAAACATTCAAGTATAATTGAATATATATTATTTTGTCATTTTAGTAGACCGAATTATCTGTCGTTCAAAAGCTTTTTTTTTTATGGTGCTTTTGTGACAAAAGCACCATAAAAAAAAGCTTTTGAACGACAGATAATTCGGTCTATTATTTTAGTTGATGAGTGAACACACATATCCGTTTTTACGTCAATGTAGCTTGGTCCTTTCTTTGGTTTTGGTCTAATTGTATGCTTAAGATAGTTGTCTAATTGGCAAGTGCAGTGAAATATTGTCATTTAATTAATTGATGTTGCCGGATTATTTGTAAATTTAAAATGAATCATTAAACCACCCTATCATGAACCTGGTCAAGGTTTTTGGGGGTATGTCTTCAATCTGGGAACTACTTTTTTTTAAGTAGTTCTGGCAATTAGGTGGTAGGAGTGGCAACACTATCTTACAGCACCTTATGTTCACATATAATATTACAAAAAAATCTAAACACGTAGCTATACCTACTCCAACTAAACTGTAGGGTGATCATATGTGATCTAGAAAGGTAATTAGTTACTGCCCAACTAGTGACACCAGCTGCAGTTTATATAAGTTGTGAGAAAATACAAAACTGGCAGAACGGTTAAAACCGGACACAAATTTAACCTACAATTGCTCGTCAGTGTATAAACCAAATAAAACAGCTATCGCATATACAAAGAAAGAAACATATTTAAGATGGATGAACATCTCGGTTTGATAAAATGCGATTATAAAATGTCTAAATATTCAATATTGTGTTGATGAAAAAACCCAATACATTAAGGGGCTTGGTGGTGAAAAACCCAATTTGATATTTGTTAGAGGGGTGAATTGGAATTGATGATGCAATTAAAAAACTTTATCACCCAATTACATTAAAAAATGGTGGGTAAAAACCCCAATTTGTGAATTCTTATCTGGAGCTCTGTTCTTTACTTGGAGCATAAATTGGAATCTATAGTTCTTGACAACAATTTGCATTTTAAGCTAAGAAAAAGTTAAATAAAATATAAAATATTTTAAATCTCACTTATCTTAACTCTATGAAATGTTACCTTGTGCATTTTTGTCGTCAGCTTCATTGAGTTTTGTTACAACAAGATAAATTGCACCTGAGGACAAAAAGGTTTGATGTGTGTGGTAAAATTCTTCATCTCCTGCAAAATCCCATAGCAATAATGTGGCATACTCCTCTTTGTCATGTAAATCAACATTAGATTTAAGCATGGTTTCAATATCCAATTTTGCCTGTTTTAATGATTGGTTTCGTTGCTGCGAGGTTACTGGAGGTTCAACTTGAGATTCAGTGGTTACTTGAAGTATTCTTTTTTTAGGCTGCTGGCTTACTGTTTCTGATTCTTTTGATTCCTCAATACGCTTGTACAGAATGGTTATGAGGGTGTTTTCCCTAACAACTTCATGTGTTACTTCTTGTACTGATGCTTCAATTGTTCCTTTGTATTGTTTCAAGAGTCTTGCATGAATTTCAGTTTCTTTATTGGTTCCTATCATTAGAAAATTATAATAATATTAAAGAAATACTAAGTAAGATCCTATCATAAAATATGCAATAAACAGTTACAAAATAAATGTTGTCCATCAATTTTTTTTCCAACCCTTAGCTAGTTCTACAAAAATACTCATGAACAGTTATCACAATTGAAAAGGGAGTTTCTTCAGTTGGTTGTAATATTGATATAACAGATTTGACAAAAACCACAAAACTTGATGCATATTCTACACATACCTTATTATTAATATGTTGCTAAATAAAGTAAAGATATTCATCAAAATAAATTAAAAAAAAAGCATGCATTAAGAATCATTATATAACCTTAGAAAATAAAACTTAAATCATCATGAGATGATGTGGTTAACATATAATTTTGAAGGCAAACAGTGAGTTGTAATTGTTTACACCCTCATCCTTTGGTCTTTGTTGGAAAGCTGTCTTATGGGCAATCATAACACATTTTATATCAATGTCTCTACATGTTAAAACAGCATTAGCTACCAAATCCACATAAACTGGATTGATTTGGAACTTTGATTTATACCATATTTAAGAGTATATCAGAAGTACAATGATTTCACTGAAAACAACAGAAAACGCACACAATGTTCATAAAGTATCAACATTTTTACGACTGGAAAACATCTATTATCCGTCAACATCAGCTCTAAAAATAGGCATATAAAAAAAGGCAATTTAAATAGATGAATATAAATAAGACATGAAAAAGTGTTATAAGAGGGGATGGACAGGAGGTAAGGGGGGCGGGAACCGGGAGTAAGGGGGCATGAACCGGGAGCGAGCGGGGCGGGAACATGAAGAAATCGAGGAAACAGGGAAACCAATTCAGTGCTGTATTAAACAAAAATCTTACACGATAAAAGGTGTTGTTATTCTTTAAGACCATCTTATTGGGTTTGGAGATTATTTGCAGAAGATTGCATGCGAAAAGATCGTTTCCAGACTTTCCGTATTGTCTGTACAGTATTGTATCTGTGTCTGTATCCAACGGGAAGGTCTAAAAACCAGGACAGTTATTTTTGATACGTTTGTATCTGTAACTTTCGTTTTACTCAACATGTTATTAAAATATAAACTGTATGATTATAAGTAAAAAAAAAATGCAAGACAGTTAAATTTTAAGAAAAATATGGCGGAAAATGCTGAGAAAAGTTTACTTACAATTAAAATAATTTCTCCAAAACAACTGTCTGGCATAAAATTTTTGTACTTTTATAATGTTTAGGGAATAATCATTTCAAAAATTTATAATTTAATATTTTTTTTGTCTTTTAAGGTAAAAAAATCTGCCAGGACAGTAGCCTATTACATTAGAAGTTTTGTTGAAATTGGCTCAAATTCAAAATATAACGTTGCATATCTTCTTCAAAATGAATGTCTGGTAAGCAAACTTTTGTTCATTGGAAAGTTTAAGATATAAGCTTTATGAAAATATAAAATATTATGGACTTTCATTTTGTTAACACAAAAAAAAAATCTGCTAGGACAGTAGCCTATTACATTAAATTTCTGCATAAATGGCGTAAAAAAATAAAGCAATTTTTAACTATAAATGAAATAGTTTCTTTAATACAATTTTCTGGTATATACTATTTAATATTATTATAAAATTACAGACACAATCATAAAAAAAATCAAGAAATTGAATACTTTTCACTTTTAAAGTAAAAACAAATTTGCCAGGACAGTAGCTTATTATATCTTAACTTGTGAAGAAATTTGTTTCAAATCGAAATACAAAGTTCAATATCTTCTTAAAAATAATTGTCTGGAATGCAATTGTTATTTCTTTTTAAAGTTTTCATGATCAGTTCTACATTCAGGAATATGGAAATCAATCTATGTATTTATATATAAATTTTTCAGTACAGTATATATTTACGTAGATTATTACATTTAGATTTTAAAGTTATCTTTATTTTTTATTGGTGCATCTTGTCATTGTCAATCCTCTGGTATGGTATGCTAGATACTCGTGCGCATGTGATGATGTTCATGTCCATTGAGGATCATTGAGATCAACCCCTTCACCAGCAAGGACTGGTTGGAGAAACGGAGGTATGTTCACAGTTCTAGATTTTCTTGTGTGAAGGGAGAAAGGAGGCATATCTGAACGAAATGATAAGTTAAAGGAGGGAAGCGGAAGTCTAGGGGAGGGAAGCGGGAGTCAGGGGGGAGGGAAGTGGGAATTGAATACCCCCTGTCAAAGGTCAAAACATAGGGCTGTGCAGTATATTTTCAACATTTATATGCCACAAACTTCTAAGAGTTTAAACTTATACTAAAATTCTGAACTACCCCTACCTTTACTTTGGGTCTTCTTCAGAATTCATTTTTCACCGCTACCATGTGTTTTTATACATTTTTGTAACATTCCCAAGTTATTTCTCTAAGAGATGAAACATAGAGATTATATCTTGGAACCAGTACGTAAACAAAACAAAATAGCTATGAATATTATATATCTCCCCAAAAGAGGCGTGGCTTGTGAACCAGCTGTCATGGCTGTATTTACAAAGTGCAACCTGTAATACCTATGCTTTGAAAACTAAAAGATAGTCCTCAAACAACCCAAAAGTATTGCTGAATAATAAGTCATGTAAACTAGAAATCAAAAACATTATAAATACTTTCTTAATAATAGAGAAACATTTGTGTTTAAGCTTATACATCATACCATCTAATTTATTCCATATGCCATCATCAGACATTGCTTTGCATTTTATTGTGTGGATTTCTATTCCATTTGTACTAGTTACATCTGTATTCTCTTCAGAGAACAATCTTTTAATCAATGAGGTTTTTCCTGCACCTTTCTTCCCAACTATTACTAAACGTATGTCTCTCTTTTTCTCAGATCCTGACTCAAGTAATTTGAGGTACAAATCAATAGATCTTTTGTCAGCCATTAATTTTATTTCAGTTGGAACCATATCACCTGCAACTATATTTTTTCATAAAGAGTTTTTCTATAAAGTAGAAGATCATAACTTTACTCTCTTTAATTAAGTATAAAAATATAACTATTTTGTGTGCCTGTTTTCACTGTATGTTAATATTTAATATTCAATTGCATTACATGTATGTTATTATAGTTTTGTTTGACAGACAACAGTCATGAGACATTCCAAAATTATATTTTATTTATTTACCAATAAAATTCATTTTTTCATGACTGCATGTGCTTCCTTTGAGAACATCAGAACAATGCATAGGAAAACTAATGAAAAGCTTGATATGAACTGCTATATCATGATTGTAGCATAAACATCTCATTATCAAAATTGAATCCTTCTTTTGTCATTTTACAGTGTTGTAAAAGCATTGATCGTTTGTACATTTGTAGTACGAAATGTGCTTCAGTTGTCGCTTTAATACCCACATAGAAATATACAGAAAGAAGCTATGGAAATATACTTGAAGAATCAACTCGCTATGATGCCAGAGTCTGTGCACAATTGTCTCGAATTAAAGAACCTTTGTGAGCACGCTCACATACCCCACGCCCCAAAATTGTCACTGGGCAAACAAAATCTCACCAGATTCCTAAAACTCATAACTCCTACAAAAATCAACTGATAAAAATTTCCTGTGCATATGCACATATACATAGTATGTCCTAACTATCTACAAAGTTTCATAAAATTCTGGTGTGTGGTTTCAGAGGAGTTGCGATGATAAACTCTTACAGTAGTATATTTAGGCCAACATTCTAAGTTCACACAGGCATAACTCCTAGAAAAACAAGAGTGCACACACTGAAATGTCTTGCCTCATTTACTGAAAATTGATTTAATGTTGATACTCCTAAATATAAAGCTTTACTACAAGTATCACATAAAATTACGATAATAAAAGAAAATGAGGTCAAGGTCAGATAAACCAAACAAGAAATACATCATGTACATGTACACCTCACAATCATTCCATACACGAAATATAATTGACCTATTGCTTATAGTTTCTAAGAAATAAACTTAACGAGGAAAACGTAGCATTGACCAGTGAACGATGAAAATGAAGTCAAGGTCAGATGAACCATCCAAGTACACCTTACAGGCAATCTATGTATTACATACAGTTGACATATTGCTTATAGTTTCTAAGAAACAAACTTAAGCATGAAAACTTAATATTGACCAATGAACCATGAAAATGAGGTCACAGTCAGATGATACCTGCAAGACAGACATATACCTTACAATCATTCCATACACCAAATATAGTTGACCTATTGCTTGAAATATCCTAGAAAAAAACTTAACAATGAAAACTTAACATTGACCAATGAACCATAACAAGAGGCTCTCAAGAGCCTGAATCGCCCACCTGTAAATTTTTGATTAAATCTTTCATCAATGATTATTTTTGCTTTTCAATATATATTAATAAGTGGCTTAAAAATGCCATTTAAATGTTCTTTGTATCTGTCATATTTTCTTCAAATGCAAAAAAAAAAAGCATTTTATCCCTTTGTTCAATTTTAGCCATAATGGCTATGTTTCTTGACGAACAAGGAAATAAAATGTAGAAATTTAAACTAGATACTCTAAACCCATTCAGCCCAAGTTTGGCTGAATTGATTCAGCAGTTTCAAAAGAGAAGATTTTTTTTAAGTAAGCAAACTAGAGGAACAAATTATGAAAAATTGTCTTTAAAGGGCAATAACTCCTTAAGGAGTCAATTGACAATTTTGGTCATATAGAACTTATTTGTAGATCTTACTTTGTTGAACATTATTGCTGTTTACAGTTTATCTCTATCATCAATAATATTAAAGATAATATCCAAAAACTGCAAAATTTCCTTAAAATTACCAATTTAGTTGCAGCAACCCAACAATTGGTTGTTCGATTTGTCTGGAAACAATTATAAACTAGATACCCTACGGAACATTCAGTTTAAGTTTGAAGGTATTTGGCCCAGAAGTTTCACAGGAGAAGATTCATGAAATAGTTTACGACGACAGATGACGATGACGGAAGCCAAGTGATGGCATAAGCTCACATGAGCTAAAAAGGAGGTCATCGTCAAATGATACCTGCCAGACAGATATATACACCTTACAATCATTCAATACACCAAATATAGTTGACCTATTGCTTATAGTTTAAGATAAATTGCTTTGCTGAGCGCAGCTGGATACGAGCGCAGATGTCCAACCCTGAAAAGTTGCAGCCAAATGGACACATTATTCGCGCTTGATACAGATCTGAATTTGGATTGTAATTAAATATTTGACACATGATAGGTTTCTGACACAGAATAAGTCTAGTCAAAGAACTTAAAATTGGTTATATGATTTGAATTTATATTCAATTTTTTGCTTTTGTGCAATACACTATGCTGTTGTGAATTGCCCCACCCCCCCTCCCCCTCCCCCCAAAAAAAGTTTACCCGTTTTTTTTTTCTTTTGTTCAAAACACTATGCTATGCTGTTGAATATTAACCCCCCCCCCCCTCCCCCACAAAAAAAAAATATTTGAAGAAATTTTCTTTTTAATTTTTGAAATCTGAAATGAGAAAAATTATAGCCCCCCCCCCCCCCCCCCACTAATTCTTATTAACCCCCCCCCCCCCAAATTTTTTCAACTCCCCTTTTACCTTATTCCAAAAATAATCTCAATTCAAATTTCTGATGGAGTTTGCAACCATAACTACTCATTTAAATACATCATAAAATATCAAAATATAAAATGACATACAGTCATGGTTAAAATTAATATTAATTAATAGTAACTTCTAAAAATAAATTTACAGCTAATCATCTCAAGTCAATCATCATTTCTTAATATATAATTTGCAAGCAGTGTAAGGAAGGTAATCAAACATATAAACAACAGTATTCTTTGAATGGATTGGATAACCTCCCTTACACTGCTTTTAAATTGTCGAAATTGTCCTTTAACCATAAAAACCCTTGTTTTGCCCCTAATTGCTAAAAGGTTTGAGCCGTGACCTCCCATAACCATCCCTTTGTTGTATGGAAACTTTTGTATCATTTCAGAGAGATTCATACACTTAAACACAAGTTATTGTCTGGAAACTGCAAAAATGCTTATTTGGGCCCTTTTTTGGGCCCCTAATTCCTAAACCTTTGGGACCATAACCCCCAAAATCAATCCCAACCTTTCTTTTGTGGTTATAAACCTTGTGTTGAAATTTTATTGATTTCTATTTACTTATACTAAAGTTATTATCCGGAAACCATCTGTCTTCGGACGACGACAACATGATACCAATATACGACCAAAAAATTTTTAATTTTTGCGGTCGTATAAAAAACAGATCAAAACACAAACTCTTAAATTTCACCACTAAACCATGAAAATGAGGTCATAGTCAGATGACACCTGCCAGTTGGACATGTACACTTTACAATCATTCTATACACAACTAGGATTTCCTAGATATGTACTAAAAAATCATGATCTCCTGAACAACACACACTTAAAAGTCTTGATCTCTTGATTGTGTGGTTTCAAAGGAGCTGCAATGACAAACTACTGTTTAGTATATTATGGCAAAAATGTTAAGTTCAAAGCGAAGGGGCATAACTCCTATAAAAAATGGAATTATAATTTTCTGTCTATATGTTTGTCCTTATTATCTACAAAGTTTCATGAAATTATGTTGTGTAATTTCAGAGGAGTTGCGATAACAAACTGTTGCAGTAGTATATTGAGGCCAATAAGTGCAAAGGGGCATAACTCATAGAAAAAAAAAATGAATCATAATTTCCTGTCGATATGCACGTCTACATAGTTTGTCCTTATTATATATAAAGTTTCATAAATGAGGCCAAATAAAATAGAATGTGTAGTTCCAGTTACATCAATAAAAAGTTAGGGTAGGTAGGTAGGGATTTGTTTTTATGTTTTTTTTTTAAATTGAGTCTATGGGAGCACCATTCTGACTTTAACAGTAATTAATGAAAAATGACAAAAAAATCTTTAGGGTAGGCTATTATTAAGACTAAAAAGAAGGGTAGGTAACTGGAACCACACATATATTTTTATTTGGCCTGACGGACGGATGGATGGAATGACAGACGGACGGACGGACGGACAGATGGACGGGTCAAAAACATTATACCCGACGCAAAAATTGCGCGAGGTATAAATATAAAATTTATTTGTGCAAGGCTTAGAAACAAGTAGGATGCGAGGCTTCGCAGAGCATTTGTTATCCTGTTTCGAGCTGAGTCCAGATAAATTTTATATTTCGAGACTATGAATAGTTTTCATGGTTATTCTTTATATATATATGATAGATTTGAGATATAAGACCTTTTTATCTATGTACATACATACGTAATGAGATTGTCTGACTGTATTTATTAGATGTCTTTGTTCAATATAAATAATTTGTTGGTATTGACCAGGAGATGTGTGAGAACAATATCTTGCAAAAAATGTGCTCCGCTTGAAGCAGCTTGATACGACCACAATGGTCTAACCCTGAACAGTTGGTGCAAGTATGGACACAACATTCAAGCTTGATACAGTTTTGAATTTGAATTGTGATTAAATATTTGACACAGCATAGGTTATTGATACAGAATGAATGTGGTCTCAGAATTTAAAAATTTGAAAATGGACATTATCCTTTTATGGTTTAATATCAAAAATCTAAATACGTGTTTAGATTCAGCAATCAAAAATCTAATGATATATATATATATAGTTTAAAAAGTAGAAGTGAATTGAAAATGAATTAAGAGGTGAAATAAGATAGAAATATTTTATCTGTATTTTTTAGCATGTATCAACCTGTTAAAAAGAGGGGGTGGTGGGGTAACTGCTATCTGTAATAGCACTATACATTGAATTTTGGGAACTGTGGTTTATTGGATTTTAATTCTTATTTAATAGTTGGCATTAAATAATAATTACAATATGTTTTTTTTTTTGGTAGAATTATTTAAAAAAGTGGTATCATAGG